AAAATCTGTGCACCCACTTCAAGATGTGAATGGAATTAGTTATTCTTAGTATAACTAGATGAACTGGACTGAGATTTCTGCCTCATGGCAGAATATAGTACAGGTGACAGAGTTTAATGAAATGGGTGAATGTTTGTTAATATCCTCTCCATTAATATTTTAGTTTGTTGATATAATAGGGTTTTTTTGTCTCTGTGTAGCCTCTGACATAGGTGTGTATCATACCACAGATTTGCTCCAGTTCCTGTTGTCTTCATAAAATGTCAAGCTGCAGTGAGCTGTATGATTCCAATGCTTTTGCTATTCCCCAGTTTATTCAGTACACAGCCTATGAAATTCAATTTCATTTGGCTTGAGAATATCACAGAAGTAACTGGCTCAGGTGTGGGCCAGTTACTGGGGCTTTCAGGCCTCAGTTTTGAGATGATAATCTCTACTGCCACTTTAACCTCATCCAGTTTCAAGCACTGATTTTACAGACTGTTCAGCAAAATCCAGAGACGAAGTGTGTAATTTATTGAGACAAGAGTGGTAGTTTGGCTTTTGAGGAAACATGTCACTATTTATTTCTCTTTTTTTTTTATTGAACACTCATATGGTGCTTGTTAGTGACATCATATTTGTTCATGTATAAAAAGTGAGACAGCTTGGCTTTGTTGGCAGATTCTGCATCAGTTGGTGCATCAGTCACAAAGCTCTTCCTACTATGCACTTTTCCACATTTAACATGTTGTTCTTTCTGGATTCTTATCAGCACAGTTAATAAGAAAAAAAAGCACAAAAAAAATACATACAAAAAATACAAAAATACACATATACATGTACATGGGCATCCACACAAGCTCACTTTCTCGCTATTCTCTTTACTTCACTAGGAAACTGAAAAAGCAAGAATTCATATAACTTTTGACGGGAACCTTTTCTGTTCCCGTGGGCAAACTCCACCCACACTGAGTGACACTCAGCAGAAATTGGGTAAAACATAAAGACTCTCTGCATGACTCATTTGTCTTGATTTGAATCAGCGTGGCAATTTGACCCAGAACAGTATTCGCGTCTCAAATTTAATTATCAAGATCACCCCTTGAAAAAAACAATTCAAAATGCAATATAAAAAATGTACAAAAGATCAATTTCAAGGACAAGTATTGCTTTTTTGTGTGTAGGTATTTCCAGGTGTAAGACAAAATGGGGGTTAAACATTCCACAGGTCAAATTGACCCAGGAACATTATTGGTGTATGTCAGAAACAAACATAGCAGGAGGGTTAATGCACAATGCACAGATGGTTTGTCAGAAGTGCATTGTTCCTGCACTCATGCTTTGAATTAGTCTTGCCTCAGTGGAATACTCACAGAAGCGAACATCCCAACCTGCTTCTTAAACCCAGTGTGTGCACCATCACTGCTTGTTTCATAAGAACAGCATGATATTTGCTTTAAGTGCCTGTGAACTTATAGCTCAGATGACATGAAGGTGCAAATCCCTCTTAACTCTGTTTGCAGATATCTACAAGCTACAAAATATGTGAGAGGTTGGAAAGGATGCTTCGATAAGTAAAAGGAGATTACATCCTAGCATTGGCAGAAAACACCTGCTGTGTGACTTGCTGGATTTTACCTTCGCTGTTGCAGATGCTGATTATTTTAAGCTACATATAAATTAGGCAGTTTCTTACGTTTACTTCCTCAAACGGCTGCAATGTTCTTTTTCATGACTGTGAAAAAACAACAGGATAGAGGATTGGATTATACTAATGTGATACTGACACTGGAACAAAAAAAAATCAAAAATTTGAGTACAACCTGTTTCAAGCTGGATTATTTCAGTCACTCTGAAATGGAACATTAAATAAAACATTTTTTCAGAAATTGATTACTTATACCACTTAATATTATTCACAAACATTTGAAATTTCTAAATTAATTGAGCAGTTGTAAAACTGAAGGTCAAAAGCACAACATTTAAACTCTGATGTCATCTATTTAGAACTATTTTTTGACTAATCATCAGGAACAACCTAAAATGGGATTGTTAGGGCTTTAAGAATTAAATTTCTTAAACAAATGTAACAAGTGCAGCATAATCAATTAAGGAAAACTGATCTGTATATTGCTTTTGTACTGAAATTATTCCTTGGTTGATGAAGTCAACATTGCGATATAAAGTGCCAGCACTGAAAAAACTACAGCTTAAAATCTTACCTTACTGTTTATCTAACACATTTCTGGCTGCTGTATTCACACTGTGCAAGAGCAGCTATGTCAGTGCAAATATGACAGGATTTAGATGCACATATTCAGGTTCTTGGAGAAATGTAACCTTTCCAAACTTCTGTTTGTCCGATTTGACATGTGGATTGAAAACCACTTTCCTCTCTGAATTGTCACCAGAGAGAACCAGGGGAGATGTGTGGGTGTGCTATTGGTGCTTCTGGCTGGAAACAGGAGCTCTGTATGTATGCTGAACATAGACATTTGACAAGCCAGTTCAAGGCCCATCTGTTGAATTAGTGTGTGGCTGAAAAGAGACTACAATTTGGGCACAAATGATAGAAAGATGCATGGCACAAATTTATCTATTAAAATGTATTGGAAAAAAATTCAAATTGTTATTTAGATGAGTAGAATCAAAAAGTTGCATGACAGTCAGTTTCACATCAGTTTCAGACAATGACAATTTGTTGCAGGAAGAGTGCAGGGAAAAAAAAGTCATCCTCCTCTTAAAAGCATTGATGTAGCCTACTTAATTTGTAAAATAAAGTTGTCGAGTTTATCTGAGACTGATTGAAACATTATTTGTCTAGACTGCACATTGATTCCACATCATGTTGCACCTCGTCAGAAATACTTATTGTGTATTTAATCTGTCTCTTGGATTGTATCATTCCTTCAAGTTCCCTTGCCTGTCTCCTGTCTTTGACTTGTCATAACAGAGACACAAAACAGAGTGAGATCAAGGTAATACAGTTTAAAAATAATGTGTTATTTTTCTTTTAGGCCATCTCACCGCTTTCCAATGACAAAATGTCCCATAATGTAACACTAATTTCAATGCAAATGTTAATCCTCTGCTGCTGTCATTGCTTCAAAAGGTCCTAAAGGCATTTTTGAGGTGCTTCTTCCTGTTCCAGCATATTGCTTTGGTGTTAACGAGTCTCTGTAATTCAGGATAAAACTGTCTACACCTGGGTCAGATTTGTCTCATCCCACAGGGAGGAAGCGCATGTAGAAAAGAGATTAAATTATTTATTCATACCTTTATGTATTTTGGAGCAGTAATTCAGGAATTAATTTGCTGAAAGACATCATAAATTTGTGATTTGCTTATACAAAAATATGATTCCTTTTAGTACTGACAGCATTAATCTTAAAATCACATATCAAAAGAACTTCAGTGGGACAGTAGACCACGTATCTTCAGTGGAAAGATTGAAATACTCACTTGAACTATCTAATGAGAGCAAAAAAGGAGAAAATCACCTTTACATGTGCAGTGCTGCTGTGTTTCAGAGCAATTCTGTTATTTAGTGTAAAGCAGATAAGGGGCTCACTGAATGTGCTCTGAGGAAATTCAAAATTAAATATTCAGTTCAGAGTTGATTACGAATAGCAGGTTTTTAAAGATAGGCAAGCAACTGACGGTAAGAAGCTTTGCATATCCTTGGCATGAATAAAAATTGTCCTGCTCAATTGGCATTCAGTGCCAGCATCACATAGATGGTATAATTCAACTTTGGACCGAGCTTTGAAGAAATTACTAAGATGTTTAGTGTACCTGTGAAGCACTTTATAAACACTCCACAAGGAATAAGTTTTGCTCACTGTAGTGTTAAATGTCATGTTTTCTGGTGATTATCTGTTATATGTATATACAAATGTACTATACTGTGATGTTTTTGAGGGTAATTTGAACTGAATTAGTAATATTGAATTGTTTTGCAAACTGTAAATATTACCATTGATGCCATGCATCTGGAGTGAAAAATAAAGATTTTGTTTGTTTTACATGTTCTACATTGTAAAGCATTTTTTTTAAATGAAAGAAATCTGTGCTAGTTGTGTGTTACTAAATAAAAAAAAGTGTCCAGCTCAACACTTGCAAACCTACTTTAATGCTCTTTAGATATGCACATTTGCATTCATATCAACATTTCATAGTATTACAGACACACATGCACACAGCAGTATTAGGGGAGATGGGGAGTTGTTGCAGGAATGCAGTAGATCTTAACTCTGGAAGCAACTCGGTTCATTGGGGGGAAAAGGGCAGAGTTTAACCTATGGACTGTGATGTGTAACCATGCATGTCAATTGCAGTGCTCATAGATTGTGTTATAGCATCATAATGTTCTGTTGTCCTGCTTCATAACCTTAACACATTGCTTTGACTGTTGTCAGCTTTAAAGACTATTGGCACAGCTTCTGTTTTTGTAGCTCTACTGGGAGAGCTTAGGATATGTGTGTAAATCACACACATGATACAGACAGATGGGAGACTTAAAACAGTCTTGCTCTGTTATCCTATCAAGTGTCTAATGTTTTGAAAAACGTATATAGATCTGTTAGTAAGAAAAGTGAGCTCAGAGGATAAGAACCACCCCCAATGTAAGATTTTCTTTCTTCAATAAATAAGAATGCACTGCAAAGAGAGCAAATTTCAAAGATCTTCAACTTTCTCCTTCCAAGATAAAGCAAATGAAGCATAAAGTGGGACTTGGGTGATGTATGATAAAGCAGACATGCGGGTGGAGATAGGAAGGGTCCAACCTTCCTATCTAGCAGCATTTTCTTGGCAGTGATGGTAGTTGTGCTTTCAAGCACAGAAAAGATTCTTGTGAAGGAATGTCATTTTTTTGTTTTTAAATTTTCTTCCCTCCAGCACATTTCCATTCTATATATAATGTCTCTTTAGATTTAAGACACCTTTTTCAAAAAAAATTACAAATTCCTCTTTTATGTAATGCATTTGTATTGACTCCCATTACTCTTGTTTTGCAGGAAGTGCTTACAGAGAATGCCTGGATAATGGTACATGGGCATTGAAGATCAATTATTCCAACTGTGAGCCCATTTTGGAGGAGAAGGTTAGTGTGGTCACATGAAAACAATTTCTCTTTTTTTTAAATAAAAATACAGATTGCTATTACAGATGAATACTCAAAAATATTGTTGCCACTTACTAATGCTCATTGAAATGTGCTATTTTAATGATGCAGATACCCCCATCAGCCCTCAAAAAGCAAACAAAAATGCTGTCCTGCCTGTTTAAAAGCTTGAGGAAAAAGAGTGCTGTTCATATGTGTTGTGCCTTGACCTGGTTACCTCTCATTTTCTCTCCAGACTCAGTATTTCTGGGTCTTGCTCTATTTCCTTTAATAATTTTAAGCCAAGACATCTGAAGTGTGTCAATGACATTTGCTTTTCAATCCTTGTTATACAGATCAAAGTATATTATGGATTTCTTGCTGTTTCCCATCATTCATACGGCAAAGAAACAATCTGCAGTTGTACTCTTTAGTATTTGCAAAGTGATCTAACAAGGTCTGAATTTGTAAAACGTCTTCTTTACATCTAGCTATCTAATAACTAATGTGTGTGTTTCCTTTTTCAGAGAAAATATCCCATGCATTACAAGATAGCTCTGATCATCAACTACCTAGGCCACTGTATTTCTGTGGGAGCCCTAATCGTGGCTTTTATTCTCTTCTTATGCTTAAGGCAAGTATAGAAATAATCTGAAATGGGGCTCCTGTGTGCAACAGCCCAGATAGAAGATAATCAGTGAAACTGATGTTGCATCCTAATGCTGCTTGTCATTAGCTTGCTCATGTCAGATGAACAAATCTCTGCAGCTCGACTCGGTAGCTGACTCTACTCCCAGACCTGATGCATATTTTCTAACACATCTGTCCTGAAGGCAGCTGCAAGTGCTAGTTTCAATACAAGAAGCCTCACTGTTAAAGTTTAATTATTATGTAACTGAAAGAAAATTTGTATCTCTTACTGAGTCAATCTACTGTAACACTTAATATTGATTACATTATTCAATATGGGTCGTACAAGCACTTTGACCTTTTTCTTGAACTCTCTGCAATCTTAAGTAGCTTTCAAGATAGTGACCCATATTTTAAGACCTAAAATCTCAGTTTGAATGAATATGCTTTTATCTCTGGAGGCATGGCAATAAAACACAAAGGCTATGACTACATTTCAACAATAGGTTGTATGTCAACACTTTGGGATGTCAAGTTTTAAAGTATAATTGCATAATGATGGTGTAGTGAAAAAAACAAACCTATGATGCTCCCTGCTGCCTGCCAAAAATCATGATTAATTTCTCTAACATGCATTCATTAAATTCAGCAAGACTATAGCCCTCAGGCCCTCATGTTTTCTTTCTTTTCAACTGTTTTAGCAACTGATTTGAGGGGCATAGAAAGATAATGGACTTTCATAGGGTATTTTGCACAGATTTATAGTATAGAAGGAACAGAGTATCTCAACTTTAGTTTATATTAACACTCAAACTCAATTCAACTCATACACAGCTGTGACTAGCACTTGGCAGACTATAAACCCTTCCTAGATACATGCATTTATTTAATTCCTTTGAGCCACAGATAGTCTGCAGAAACCTCTGTGAGAGAACTGCTGCATAAACTCTCGGTGATGTGACTGTAAGCCAAGCATCTGTTACACTAGTCCCACTCACACCGTAATCCTTTCATCACATATCAGCTTCAGGCATGCCAGGCGTCATGTTGGTAGTTTATCCTAAAGCAGGGGGTGGGCAATTATTTCTTCCAAAAAAACACACAAGTAGCTATGATTGTGGTGGAGTGCCTGATTGTTGGCTAAATCAATTATTCCTAATATAAATGTGATAATAACCCCTAAATATGACTTTTATTGTTTGTTTGTTGGTACCATTAATCATTAACACTGAGCAAAAAGTGCAACGCACTGCAGAGATAACTGGACGTTTATATTATGTTATGTTATATTATGTTATGTTATGTTATGTTATGTTATGTTTTAGGAGCATACGGTGTCTTCGAAACATTATCCACTGGAATTTGATCACCACCTTCATATTGAGGAACGTTATGTGGTTCTTGCTTCAGTTGATTGACCACAATATCCATGACAAAAATGAGGTATTAACATTTTTTATACTAATAGTAATTACAATAGGCAAGAGAAATGACAAATTACATCATGTTTATTGATGCCAGTAGTCTGTACAACATAAATAGTTTCATAATTGTAACTTGATTTCTTTTGAATAATTTTGTCTCTTTTTCTTCTCAGCCTTGGTGTCGATTGAGTACGACAATATACAACTACTTTGTTGTGACCAACTTCTTCTGGATGTTTGTTGAAGGATGCTATCTTCACACTGCTATTGTTATGACCTATTCTACTGATAAACTGAGAAAGTGGGTTTTTCTTTTCATTGGTTGGTGTAAGTATGCTCCTGGTTTTATACCATATGTAAGGCAAAGGTGAACATGCTGACATTAGAAGACAATGTTCATCAAAAAATAGAATGGAGACATTTCTGAGATGATTTCTTAAAGATGAATTCTAGTATCAACATTTTCCACCAAACATCAAAAGGAAATTGTTCATAATACGGGGAATTATTTGTAGTTATGAATACAGAAAGTATCCTGAAATATGCCTAATTTTGATCCAGGAATTTAATTTATTTTTTTTTTTTTTCTGAAAAAAAAAATCCTAGTAGGACTAGTAGCCCTAATAGGACTTTCCATAAGTTAAGGTATTTTATTCTGGCTAGAAAACCAAAAAACAAAAGAACTATGTTTTTGTTCGTTACCTCCAGTAAAAATAATTTTCTTTCATTGTGGAGCAAGTACATAAGCAATGAGTTTAATCTTGTTCTTCTTAAAAATCAGTTTAACGTTGAGCAGTGTCGTCATTAGGTCTTTCCACCAGTATCTGATGCTATAAGCAGTTGACGTCGGAAAACATTTTTGTTACAATTGTCACAGTTTCCAAAATAATAACTAGTCAACAGAAAGAGCTTAGAACATACAGACAGTTGTGTAAGTCAGCCAGTCTGACCTTGGTTTTCATCATGTAGTAGACATGTCATCAGAGATTTTTTGCAACTACACAAAGTTAATGGATCATCCACGATCCGACAGAAATGCATAAATAAATGTAGTTTGAGTTAATGCAGCTGAAGCACACCTCCTGGTTTGACTGCTTAAGTGTAGGCAGCCGACTCTTCTTTCTGCCTCAACACTCAAGTGAGTCGAGCTGTTCACACTTCAACTGCCTTAATTTGCTCATTCTACCCTACATCGTACATGTCAAATGGAAAATAAGGGAACCAAAACGGAAATACTCGTTTAGCCGTACTTGGGGGAGGGAGGGTAGATCTTAAGTTTCCAGGTCATTTTTGATTTAATCTATTTCTACTTTTGGAACAGTTAATGTTCAACATGATTTGTTAGAGTGCCTTAAAAAAGCACTTAAATTCCTGGAATTAAATTAATTCTGGAGTTACCAACTGTCTTAATTAGTGACTGAATAAAGATCCACAGATGTGTCAACATGAAAACTAAAATTCAGTCACTCCACAGATCTCACCTTTAAGGGTTCACAAATCATGTAAGGAACAAAGCAAAGAGCAGCAGTGTAATGCTACAGGGATGCTTTTCAGGAACAGCACAGCTAATCAGAACTTTTGGGGAAATGGTTTGAGCTGATTTTCATAGGAGAATGGGAAAAAAAATCTAGGTCTCCATACATGAAAAGCTGGTAGAGCCATTTCAAAATACATATTTTTTTTCATGTCTCATCTATGTACTATTTTTTATTCAGTAAAATCCCAATTATTTTTTGACACTTTTTGAATTTGACACTTTTGAATCAAAATTTTAAGGAGTTTCATAACATATTGTCTAGTAAACAATAAATAAATTATTCAAACCATATCCACAATTTATTTGAGTCCATTGTTAACTAAACAACTTTGTTGTAATGACAAAACTTTTTCTCTTTCAAGAAAAATAAATTTAAATTACTGTTCAAGTTTAAGCTGAGTTGATGACACTTTGATGTGGCTGGCATAGAATATTTAATGAGCATTCAAAGTTCAACTCATGTGACACTTGACAGATTTGTTTAAATGTTTTATTTGTTTACCATTTTAAATAGATAGGAGTCAAACTTAATATTGGAAAGTTTAAAGCATGTGAGAGTTTTATAACAGAAATTTTTCTTAGATATTTAGCATGTCAAGCCATCCTCAGTGTTTTCCTTACACTTTGGATCCATCATTGGTTTGAGAAAATTAGTTTTGGCTCCCATGATGTGGTTTATGTCTGTCAAGTGTCTTTAGCTGTAAAGTGCAGTTTAGGTGAAACCCTTTCAGAGAATGATAATGGGTAGATGTTTTCGACATGTTCGCTTTCCTTTAATATCACCATTAACTGATTATTCTGACCTAGTTTTTTCACTGCAACCTTTTGAGATTAATGGAGATTATTTCTTCAAAAGTCAGAAGAGGACTTTTAAAATGAACAAGTGCAAACATACTGCTAAACAAAATATGTATTTTAGATCATCTTTCCTGTCTGTGTTCCAGGCATTCCGTGTCCAATAATTGTGGCTTGGGCTATCGGAAAATTGTATTATGAAAATGAAAAGTAAGTATTTTTTGTTTGCATTAACATGACAAAAGATAGGAAAATTGATGCATTTTTTCATCTAGATTTTTTAAAGATAGTTTAAATGTATATTTCTTTATTTTTTGTTGTATTTTTTACTTTCAACAGATGCTGGTTTGGTAAAGAGCCTGGGAAATATATGGACTACATTTATCAGGGACCAATTATTCTTGTGCTTCTGGTCAGTAGCTGCAAGAATCTTTAACATGTTGAAAAATGTTGCAGTAGACTGATGATCTTTGTTTGCAACATCAAACTCAGGCATCACTTTATATAACACAATGTCCATCAAAGAAAATAGTAATGAACGAAGCTCTAACCAGAGTTCAAGTTTGATGATCTATCAAAATAGGACAGCAAGTCTGGAAAAAATGTGGATGATTATTATGGCATGTAGACCTAACAAACAGGTGAATATTAAAGTGCTCTTTGAAGAGCAATGTCAACCTATATTCACCACAGTGATGACTGATTGTTAATGACAAAATAATATGTGGTAAAACTAAAAGTCTGGAAGTATTTATACAGATAATATTTCTGCTGCAGTTTTGAACAGCTCTGTTATTCTAACGTGCATAGACATTCATTTGTCATCCTACAAATGACTGACGCAAGAATATTTTATACGGAGCAACAATACTGTGATTTTTGTAAGTCTGACTTTCTCCTCATATCGGTCAGTGTTTTACTCTTGACAGTCTAATTGCACCAAGTAGTTGGTGACATGTTATGTTGAGGACGCTATCTCGCCACTTAAAATTTACAATTCAATCTGAGTCAGGTTTCTCTTATGATGTTGTTTGACCCTAAAAAGTCACTTTGAGCCAACCCTACTCGTAGTGGTAGGCGGGGAAGTTAAAATCCTCAGACAGGATCTGTGCTCAGTCATTTCCTTTCTTTAGTGGGCTTATTTTCCAGCCACATAGAGGAATACATATTGCCCACAGCTAATTTATGTTAAATATTTAGGAGGAAAGAAGACAGAACAGGCATCATAAGTATTAACGTAACAAAATAAAGCACTTTGTTACCCTACAAACATTATGCTCATGAACAATGGTCTGACTGTATACTCACTTCATTTGTCGTGTTGTTGCATAAACTGTGTTGTAGTCTTCTCTCTCAGCTGCAATTTGTTTATTGCTTGCATGTACAACAATTTTATACATTTCTGTCAGGAAATGAATCTTGGTCAGAAAACAATCTCTATGATCTCTGTAGTCATAGAAAGCACACATGTGATTCAGGATCATGCTCTTCAAGACACTACAAAGAAAATAGATGTGTGGTAGAGCCTTTTTGTAGTGGAAGCCATGGCCCAAAAGTTTCTTTTTCTTTTCTTTTTTTTTTTCTTACCTGATAAGCACATCAGAAAATGTCTGCATTGAAAAACAACATACCAGCTGATTGTGACTTATGTTTTATGGCTTCATATTTAATTTTTTTGGGCACTAGTTTAAACACAAAAGTGAGATGTTTCAAAAATAGACCTATGAGTAAAATTGTGAAACAAAAGCTATTCCTGTATGCCATCCAGATTTTGGATCTATAAAGTGAATCTTACTATTTTCAAAAAAGGAAAAAATGACTTTTTGTGGGACAGTTTTATGCCATCCCGTACAATTATGTGTTATTATTGTAACTACCTTGGATCCTTTGATACAATGTGTTCCTCCCTGCTTTGCTTTGAGTTGTGTTTTGACTTGGGCGGTTCTGTGCTCTCACAGCTTACAGACAGCACAGCAAGCTTACCAAAAGCTCACTGAACTGTCTGTTCTCACCAGATAATTGTCCTCTGTGTTCTTCACGCCAGGTCATTACCACAGAGCTCAACTATGTTTTGTTCTCCCTTTTTTCTAGATAAACTTTGTTTTCCTCTTCAACATAGTACGGATTCTCATGACCAAACTGAGAGCTTCAACCACATCAGAAACAATTCAGTACAGGTAAGAAAGTTCAGTGTATGCTTGTAGTCGATGATCATGCTTTCTACTTCTTCGTCTTTATGTAAAAAAACAAAACAAAAAACTGCAAATTACTTTTGATTCTGAAATACACTTTGTGGTATACAAAATAAACACTTTGGACTATGCACTAGGGCACATTATGGGTTATGTATTTATAAACTGCAAGTGTTGACACCTGGGATAAAAACTCCAAATACTCAGATCCTAATGATCTTTTCTACTTGCAAATTAAGACATGAACACATCATGCAGTGACAGTTGCATGACCAACTTGCTTTCAGGTCTGCTGATGTTTCTAAAAAAACGGATTCACATTGATTAGTAAAACTATTACGCAAGAGGAATATCCTCAGAGTCAAACGGACTTGCCCTTTTATTCATTATTAGATGTATGTTTCATTTTTCCCCGAGCGAGTGTCACCCTGCCCATGTCAAATCCCTTCACTGTGTCCTATAATTGAAGACCAAGAGATGCAAGCAAAAATTTTCCTCATACACTTTCTTTGAAAATAAAAATATTGTCATCTTACCATTTAAAGATTGCTGCAAGAAATTCTGTCAATTTAAAGCTAAGATCAAATTAATCTGCCATAATAATTGTTCCCACTACATCTTCTTGCCTTCTGTGTTTCCCTTACAAAGAACCAATAGCAGGCATCAGGTTTGGATTTAACACTGTGAACACAGTAGAAAGGTTTTGGATTAGATGTGTCTGTCATGCTTAAGTCCCATATCAGAGTGAGGTTGGGGTAATTATAGTGCTTTTTGCAAAAAGACTCTTTTATTTAGTCCCACCATTAACCACTAGAAAAAAGTGGAAAACCTCTTATGTGCCTGATCGCTAAAACAGCAAAGCTTGTTCTCAACAGCTGCTATCAGTGTACTTTTTTTTTGCCTTCCCATGGGAATATGTTGAAGAAAACAAAGTGTTTGTGGCATACCAGCTCAGACTATTTATATTCAAATTGAAGGTTTTGAGGCTGGCTGTGACAGGAGTTTGTTTTTGTGAGCTTTGAAGAGATAAGCAGATGGTATAGCAATATGTAAAGCATAATATGCATAACATATTTTCTTTTAAATGTAATCTCCTAATTGTTTCCAATCTGAATTTACATTTGTTTCTAGTGTTTATCAGAAATAAACATTAGGATTTATATAAATGTCAATCCTCTCACAATCTTCGATGTTTTTAAAGTGGATTTCATGTGACAGGCCAACACTAAGTAGGTCATAATTGTGAAGTGTAAGAAAAAGCATAAGTGGCTTTCAGAATTTAAAAATAAAACAAAACATAAGTTAGGACACAGATAAACAATTCAAATACCAGAAAGTCAAACAACCAGAAAGTCAAACCCAGGAGAGATAAGCAGTTGGTACGGCAATATGAAAAGTCAGAACCACAAGAGCTGACTCAAGTGAAAACTGACTTCCCTCTTTTTAGCCTTTCTCTGCTCAGCTCTCACTCTCAGAGGTTCTGCTCTGCTTTCAGCAGAACTCTGGTTTAATTGGTGGCCTTGTGACAAATCATATGTGAGGATATAGGATCATACCACTATGTGGAAACAGAAAGGTGAACAGACATGACAGTCAGGTGGATGATCTCTCTGTCCTCTCAGTCAGGGGAGAGGAGGAAAGTGCATCGAAAAAACTCATAAATAAACTGACACCATAAACAAACAACATCTGACTGCAGTTTAATATAAATAAAATAAAGATGTATCATTATTAAGGTTCTGTTTGTGAGATTTGTCTGTAAAGCGAATTACACAAGCTTGTTAATTCAGTTTAGTGTTTAATGACAATTAAAAGTTTGATTGAAATATTACACAAAAGTAATAATTGCTGCTTTAACATTTCAACAAAATAAATACATAAAATTGCTCTGCATGCAAAAAAATATTAAATTAAAAGAGCTGAACTGCCTATCACTGCATCCAATCTGTCTGAGCCTGAGCTATTATGATTAAAGATACTTGGATACAAGTTTGAGTTTCCAGATTTGCCAAGCTGGTGGAGATGAACCACAGAAAGATTCTGATGTAAAACTAGTAAAAGGTGACTGCACTAAGTATGGACTCATGGCCAATGAATACAAATGGACAGCATATCTTTCAAATTTGTATAAAAAAAAAATAAAATAAAACATTGTACTCATTTAACTTTATTTTGCCAAATACTGATAAAATGCAATAACGTTTGCCCTCATCACAAAATAAGGAATATTCAAAGAATCATGTATGTAGTCTTGGAAGGAGCTGTTTAAAAGTCACTTATTGAAAAGTAGTCATTGGCTTAAGAAAACACAGTCTCTGACTATCTTGTGACTTGATATTGTGATGGGGAAGTGTTATTTTTTTCTGCACAATGTCATATGATTCCCAGAGTAAGATATTTCTGTAAGTAAAAAAAAAAAAAGAAGAAAAAACGCTGCTGCTCATGTTAATTTCTTGTCTTTGCAGAAAGGCTGTGAAAGCCACACTCGTCTTGTTACCTCTGCTGGGAATCACCTACATGCTGTTTTTTGTCAATCCGGGGGAGGACGACATCTCTCAAATTGTTTTCATCTATTTTAACTCCTTTTTACAGGCTTTCCAGGTGAGAATGATTTTCTTTCACACAGTACAACAGTGGGCAACCGTCAGTGTTTTTTTTGTTTGTTTTTTTTTGCCAGGGTTGCATCATTTATTTGAGCGGCTTTTGAGTTTTCTGGTAGGAAGATGATTTGAGGTAGCATTCTGGCTGTGCTTACACAGTCTATTTCCCTCCTGCCTTATGTTCTGTAATCTCACATGTCAAGAATAGCAGGCCCATGTGGGCTTGATTTCTGCTCTGTAGCTATTCCTTTTATTGGTGTATTTTTTTAAATCTATGAATAAATGGAAGGAGGGCTGGTGAATCATATTTTTTCTGGAGTATAATGGTAACTTTTTTATGTGAATTGTGTTTTATAGCATTTGAAAATATATAGTCTTTTATTCTACTTATGCTGATAATGTGTCTTATTCTACAGGGATTCTTTGTGTCAGTCTTTTACTGCTTTCTAAATGGAGAGGTAAGTCACTGACGAAAAAAAAAAAAAAACATTAATCACTGTGGGTTTTGATTCATAGTCCTAATAAGTCCGTTACGTTTCCTCAAATATTCCTCATTATATTTTAAACTTAATCTGACAGAAGCAGCTGTAGCTGCTTAGTCTTAGTATTTCTCAGACTAAGAAATAGTCTGAGCTGCACATTGAAATTTTCACTATGTAATTATCATCTGATTAAAAATAAAGACAAATTCACAGAATGCCAGTTGCTGTCTGACAGTAATCAAAACCAGATACGTTGCTGGCTCTTCCATTAAGAAAAAAGTCCAAACTTTAGGGCTTGCTTGAAGTTTTAAATGTTTCTAAAGATCTCATTTTGCACATCCAGTGGAATTCAAATAGAATGTAATAAAATGCTTTTTAATCTAAAGAAACTTTTGTTCATTTTAGCAAGATGTTAAAATGTCAAGTTGAAAAGGCAAGTGATTGCTTATTTTATACTCAAATTAATTTAGTTCAGCATCTTCTACAAGGTTTACTTTATGTAATATGAAGCTAAACAAAACTATTCCTATATATCAATGTTTTCTAACACTTTGCGATGAACTGTTAAGGTACCAATTTATATTATTATTATTTATTTATACTGAAGTATAAATAAAAATATCTTTTGTTTCAGAGTTTTCTGAAGAAGTTTATACAAAAAGAAAAGTTGGACAAATTGATAAATCTCCATGTTTTCCCTTTGGACAACAGTTAGATAACAAGGTCAACACCACTTCTGTTTGTTCATAAGAAACGTTCTTCAAGGACACGGAAAACTGAAGAGCTTAGGAATATGAAAACAGCTGAAGCTCACTCTGTCTTAGTCTGCTAATTCTCATTTTTATAGAGATAATATGGAGTCGTGTATTGATTGTTGCTAGATTTTTATCTTTTTTGAATCTGATTATGATTGTCACTGATTTGACTTTGCTCCACTTTGACTGCCAGTCAAAGCGGAGCATGTTTTGTTTGGCTAAGTTCCTGATCCAATCTTTTACAGATTTTGGTAGTTAATAGAATTTACAGCCAAAAGTCTGGCTTTAATTGTACAGGAGACAGGCAGAGAATTCCCTTTTTCTTGCATTTGGTGGTTTAAAATTAGTCTTTAAATAATTTGTTACTCTCAAATTGACAATAGAGTGAAGATCTGTTTAGCCTTAAATGTGTGTCAGGTTCATAAGTCAGCGTTTGACATGTCATGCAAGGAAGATATATATTGTCTCTTTATAACCTGCTGTTTTTGTTCAACATTTCAGGTCCGTTCTGCAGTGAGGAAACGGTGGCACCGTTGGCAGGATAACCATGCTCTTCGAGTGCGAGTGGCACGAGCCATGTCCATCCCCACATCGCCGACCAGGATTAGCTTTCACAGCATCAAACAGACCACAGCTTTGTGAGCGTGGGAATAAACTTCATCCCTTCTGACATGCTCATCCACAAAACACAGAACAGCCTTCATAATTTTGGTTCAGCATTCTAAATTAGGCTGAGTACTTCACAGTAAACTGCTTAGTGTTGTGTGCCTAAGTCAACAAGACACTCCTTTTTACTGCTGAGGTTTCAAATTCTCATAAATTAGTTTGTTAGACGATGAATTGTTTTATGAAAATGTCCAGTGTGTAAAGTACACAATTTGAAAGTCTTTGAAGAGTGTTTTGCAGCAAAGACGCCATTCTTCAACAAAGTAGGTCTTGTTTTGTTTTCAATTTCTGTCAAATAGCTGCTTAGTGGTTATTTATGGGAAGACAAGAATTTAGAATTTGCAACTCATACACTCATAGACAGGATATTCTTGTTATGCTGAAAGAGTGCAATCGATAAAACTTGAATTGTAATTGACCACAATGCAGCCACTTGTCTGCCAAAACAACCATTTGATCAGAAACAAAGAAAACCTAACTTTAAAAAAAAACAAAAAACTAAAAATAGTTATTTTGGATGGAGGGGGTAAAAGGGAAAGTTTTGTCTAATTCTGTTCTGCTTTAGATGTTATCCCGGCATTTGTTCACATAATTTTACATTCACCTTTCCTCTTGCTATTTGTTCCCAGCATTTTTATTTCTCCTGTGTGCAAAAACATACAAGAGGGTACTGTCAGAAAGAATTGTTTACTTCAGGACATGTTTTATGCCACTTTTTCTCCAATCCCAAGTTCAATCTCGAGTCCAGACAAGCAAATCTAAGATTAGCTATTATTTTAAGAAGTGAAAGTGATTCTTAGCCATTTATGCAATATTTGCATATAGAGTACAAAGTGTTGTGCACGGACTTATCATGCATGTGAAGTGAAAGCAGATTAAATTCTTTTTGGCTTTATGAAATCCTTGTGGCTTTCTCATAATCGGTGTCGCAACTAAGCTTTTGCTGCTGAAGAGGGGAAGCCTGATGGAGAGGGAACCAGTCACATCCCTAAAGACGTGCTTCGGTCAGGTCAGCGTATTCTCTCAATGTAATGCCAGCTTTTACGTCTCACAAGGCTTATCCCACAAAGTCATGGAAACAGCCACGCTTTGGTATTTGCCCCAAAAAACTTTTTGCTGAGGGATTAAAAGAGGATGAGAATTATTGTTTTTTTGGAAGAGATTACAAAAATAAAAAGCATGTATTTGAAGATCTAAAATGCTACTGATGTTTAAGCCTGAGTCATTAGATCATCTGCTTAATTCTCTGCAGTTGTTGAAAGTGTAGAAACGAGATTTTCAAAAATAATTGTATTAATTTTTTAATTTCTGTTAATACTCCAAGTAAGCGCTTACCAGTTTTCTGTCATTTGTTTATGTCACACAGTGCGTCAGTTAAATTGCTAAATTTATACATGTGTATCTCAGTACATTTTTTATTTAAAGTATTTATTTTTGGTTGTTTTGATTATTATGGTTTATTGCAAGTGAAAACCCACATTTCAGTTTCTCAGAAAACTGAAGACCAAAATATATTTTATTTAAAATAGACATGTTGACTGACTAAAAACTTTGTCCACTACAATATGCGAGTTCATTACTACGAGGTTTGTTTTTGCATTGAATTAGAACGTATCTCATCTAGATTCATGGTCCGCTAGTCCTGCTTGTCTTCTGGGCAATACTCTATAGGTTGTTTTGGGATTAGGTCAAACCAGTTTGTCACATCAAGCACAAAGACATTATGATTATTAGTGTGGTCACTTCTGACTTTGAAAGAAACTCAGCATCTCCATAAGGTTTGTCAGAATAGGAAAGCATGAAGTGCTCTAAAAGTGCTATATGTAAGGGTCTGCTGACTTTGGATAATAGACCAACAGTGATACATTAAAGAGCTTTTTCTTTCCAATAAATTCTTGAATAAATCACTTTGTGAAAGAGCCTGCGTGTTTGGCAAAGATCTTTTTTGACTTGCGAGGAAGATGTTAGTGGCCTGTTACTCAACAACAGTCATATCAGCAGTCCTGACAATAACTATGAAGGCTATAAGACGAATTTAAACGAGGCATAAGATCATTCTATAAGATAACCTGCTCTCAAATTATTTTTAATTAGCGGTATCTAATAAGATTTTTGGAGAAAATGGGCTTTCATTACCTGTACGGGATAATCAATAAAAATTAACACTTTAATACATTAACACTAGTAGTTTTACCTTTTTTGGAATAGATTGGTGAAATAAGATAACTTTTTGATAATGTTCTAATTTATTGAGAGACACCATGCTTTCTGGAGTGTACATTGTGGGGTCTTGGTAAAAGTTTGACCAAAAACTGTGTTTAAATGGCATGTATAAAAAATAAAATATGTAACCATCTGTTTATGTAAAAATGTGCTTTTCATTGTTATCTTTGTAAACTTGTGTTAAACTAAAGCTAATTTGTTATTGCTGTTCTGTTCGACTACACTAATAGTGGTTAGTGTAGAAACTATCTACCCCAGACTGAGTTGTAAATATTAAATCTGCTTCATTTCAGAGTCACAACATGTGAAGCTGTACTACAGCACATCTTTTCATGATTCCTACTAGTTAGATAAAGTTAAAAGGACTACATGATGCTACTGTTGTAAAAATGTGAAATAATCTTATAAAAACATTTATTTAAACTCACCAAAGAGATAACCTTTGTTTACTAACTTACACTTTTTATTGTCTACATATTTATATTGTTGTCAGTGGAATATAGTTATTGAATCTGTTTTTAACATGATTTTTTTTACATCAATTTCTGAACATGAAGTGTAATCCACAAAGTCAGATGTCAGATCTGTAGATTTTAAGGAAGCTACCCATACTGCCTTACAAAACAACAAGAAATGTATTTTTGTGAAAAGGAAGTCGTCTCTACTGGTTCCAATAAAATATTCTGTGTTATTGTGCCACTGATTTTTACTCATTTCTGAACAGCATACGCATTAAAACTGATTCATATCTTTCACAAAATGCAATAGAAGAATATTTTTTAATATTACAACAAATGTTCTAGCTGATTTTAAAGGGGGGTTTCTGCAACATTATGTTACATGCACAGACACATGTGTAGCATAGTTACTTGATTGTGTTAAAAAAAATGGCTGTGTGTATGGAAAATACATAACGCCATCCTTTCAAGCGTGTTTCAGCAATAGTATTTTGATGATTTACCCTTTGTGATGAACTCAGTCTTTTTTTCCATCATCTCAGATTCTTGTCAGGACTCTGGCACTTCAGGACTTTTATTCCAGTTGAGAATATTTCTGACAGGGATATGAGTAATTTAGGACCTGTCTCTTATTAATGGATCTTGGATTTTTGAAATTTCTTTGAAATTAGTAATGTATTTTTAATTTAATCAAAACAAACCAACATCAAAATCTATGTGAATATATGTTTTAGATAATGTGATTTTGATATTTTAATATTAGTTTGAATAATTGTTGCTTTTCTAATATGCAAAACCTCTTGGCCCATGTTATCCCTTTTTCTGTTTTAAAAAATTGTGTGAAAATTTAAGTACTGAAACACCATGAGATAGTGTTATTCTTACTCAAGGAGATAGCTTCTCAGACAGGCCTTTGCCCAATAATGCTAAGTAATCTGACATTTCCACAAATTGCACTCATATTTTTCATTTGTTTTTCCACAGGAATAAATTCAGCTGTTCTTTTTTTTTTTTTTTTTCACTGCCGACATACAAATCGTTCCTCTCTACTAGCAGAGGGGGAAAAAAATCAACTTTTCATGTTTCATGATATGTAAACACTAAATAATTATTCATTGAAATGTAATCATTTTAAACTGGTGATGAAAAAAGACGGCGTAGGAGAGAAGGCTTGCTAGATGTAGTTTTGTACATTTCAGGCTCAAGTGAAATGGAGCAGAAACTACAGCCTTTGCCAGCAACCCTCAGGACTCATCAAGCCATACATCCTCAGACAAAGAGATAAAACTCTAATACGCTTTAATGGATGCTTGTTGAATCAACTAATAATCTTGATAGTTGTCAGTATAATGAAAGAGGAACATTAGATGTCAGGCTTTCCTTTACTGTTAAGTAACTAACCTAAATTACATCACATTTATGTAAAATGTGTTGTAACAGTTATGACCTTATCTGAACATATTACAGTTTGGGCTCTAAAATAGCAACAAAACTGAGGTGGATGCTTCTGATTTGGTTCAAAACTGACCAAAATTAATAAAAAGAAATTGTTGCTGTGTTTGTTTATTAACTGGGTGATAGATAGTCGTAAATATCTATCACCAATATTTCTCCTGAAAACTGATCTGATAAATAAATGCATATTCTGAGTTTGAAGAAATGGTGGTAGGTTGTAGGTAACAGGCTACATTTTGACCACTGCAGAATATGAAATAATGAACAAGAGTGGAAGCCTAACTGAAAATTGGTTTTGGCACTCTTCCAGAATCTATTACACAGGATTTAGATTGGGGATAATGAATCTGCTTCCCTGGAGGAATCTAAAGGTCAGATATTGGTGCTGAAAACAGCAGTATACACATTTCATGCCTTTTATTGCCAATCATAGTTTCATTCATGAGGTTTATGAGATATCTAAACACTACAAAAAATTTGATAACCAAAAAATAAATAAAATAAATAAATAAAAAATCAAGTCTGTGAATTAAAATGTTTAGAGTGAGGAATCTAAAGCCACAAATGCAATGGATGGATAGAAGAAAGACAAGATTCTTTTCTTTCAAAAACACATCCAGATCTGGCTACAGTATATATACACATTTTTATATACTCATAAAAATGTGTATATATATTTTTTTTAAATGATTGAAGCTAGTTTTATTTTGTTAAGTCACACAAAATCTCACCTTCTAGCAGGTGTCTGGCTGGAAGGTGGATTTGGGTGGTAAAAACAACTTCTGTTAGTTTATCTAGCTTTTTTCAGACTTTTATATCCACTATCTAACTTTGCCAAGCTTACTCCCAAAAGAATCACAAACTGTCTTTAAATAATAAAAGAATTGAAACTTGCTGCAAGTTTGCAGTATCATAGCTGAAGAAATTAGTACTTTCCTCCTCTAGCACAAGGTGGTCTTTCCTGTCTTGTTTCTTTTTCTGCTGTCCATATTTATTTATGACAGTGTCCCCTGGTCACCACTTCCTCTCTCTGTAGGTGGAGCTTTGGATTCTTGGCAGACTGACTCCACACAGCTGTGGATCATCTATGTACTCATCACCATGCAAGTCCATCTTCTCTGAACTTCCCTCTGACTCATCAGTTCCTGATTAGACCCTCAGTGTTCTTACTTTGTCTTCTCACCTTCTTGTTAACATAATTTACATGTCTTTTTTTTCTGTTTTGTGTTTTTCTCTATAATCTTGTTTTGAAAATTTGACATTGTTTCACAGAGAAGACAACTGATGCACAAGGAAAGGCATAAAATGGGGTGAGAAACAACATATCAAAGGAGGTGATGTGTAAAAAAAATGACACATTGTCAGTATAGGTGGAGTTTGGTGGTAAAAATAATAACTCCACCTAGTTTATTTATGTCTTTTGCTTTGAAAAATGTTGCAATGAATCAGGCTGCTTTACTTAATATTATCTTGATAAAAAAGTGGGCAGAGAATTCAAGTCAGGAATAAAACACCAGCCAGAAACATTGAGGGCTGTCAACCTCTAACTTGAGCTTGAGTGTATGCAGTGATTTAGTGTGAACTAGCAGGTAGGAAATGTCTTGTAGGTCACAGCTCAGATGTCAGATGAAGCATCTGCATTTAGAGAAAATTAAAGAAATAGGGTAGGAATAAGAGTGTATGTTTGCTCATTGGCAGTGCAGACACAGGCGTCCCCAAAAATCCTCTTTATATCCTACAGACAACAAAATGGATGTACTTCAGCTAAACCCTTATGAACAAAACATAGACTAATTGGAAAAACAACACTTCATTTGCGCCCCTTCATTGTTTCTACATTTTACACAACCACTGCTCAAGAAGAAAAAAGTTGAAAGAAAGCTAGAAGATGCCCATTATGAAAAATTGATCCAGTTTTTCTTGTCAAACTGGTTTATTAAAAATTCAGCAACTTTAGATTTCAAATATGAATTGCTGATCATTTCTGCAAATTAAAGGAATGTGAAACTAAACAAAACTAGAGTTTTGAAGATTAAGAAAAAGATGAAACTATGATGTGAGAAGCTGTTAATGCAAAGCATTCTGAAAAAAAACAGCAACTTTAAAACTGTCTTAAGTTCAATAAAAAAGACTGTGCTAATCACTAAGCCTCATTTGTTAGTTTTTAAAAAATATTTCTTTAAAACATGTCAAAGTACCGTAATCATGCTGCCTTACAAAGAAATGTTGATCAACACCTCCCTCTGCTGGCTACAAAGGGGAGTTCACTACCTATCCTTTGGATAATAATTAAATGTTGTCATTTGGATGATGATGATGATGATATATATATATATATATATATATATATAATTTTTTTTTTTTTTTTTTTATTTTTTTCTTATGTAAAACCAGATTTGCTAAGAACATTTATATTTGTAATTTTTACTTTGTGTACAGGCGTTCATTTATTAACTTATTTTAGGATAATTCATTTCCCTGTGACACTTAAGAAATCCTGACAAATAAGCAGTTTTTAGGGTAATCTTTTAATATTTCTTGTTTTAAAAAACAATAGACTGTCCTGTCGAAACGGTGCAAAGAGCTGTAATGGATTCCTCTGAAACACAGAACTCAATGAAACATATTTATGTACCATGATCTGAAAAATGTGCAGAGAGGCACCGCATCAGCTTGATGAGTCTTAGAAAATGAGATGAAGCATTTATAAATGTATCTTTCATGACACATGCAAATGAAAATTGTTCAAAGTGGATTTGACAGACATGTAAATGCCTTCTGTTTAAAAGGTGATATAATCCTTACTTGACAGTGTAGAAAATTACTTTTTTCTTTTTTTTTTACTCCAATTGTCTTTTTGTGTGTCTTGAGATATAGCACCAAAACCACATTAAGGCTTAAATGGCTATTTTATGATGCCATGATGTACTTTACGAAAGCTTCATAATTTATACAGCCATTAGCATCTTCTTGGTTTTGCATCAGCTGCTCCACTTCATCCTCCCTCATCTTCTCCCCTGAAAGCAGTGACACTGTCAGCTCAGTGTGCATCATTATTACCAGCGTCTTATGAAATCTGCTAACTAAGACAATTCCACTCACCAAGGGTTGCCAGCACGTGTCTGAGCTCAGCGCCCATCACTGTACCATTTCCCTCCTTGTCAAATACTCTCAAACCCTCAACAAAGTCTTCAAACGTTCCACGGTCCTTGGCTTTGCAGATGTGTTGGTAAATTGGAAGGAACTGGTCAAAGTCAAGCATCTTGGTCTGCATATCTGTTGAAAGTATTAAGAAAGAACAGTGTTTCCTAAAGATTTTCTTCTGGGCCCCCCATTGGATTACAATAAAATCTACGCCCCCCCATACCCACTCAAAAAAAATAAATAAATAAATAAAAATAAATCAACTGGGCACACACATTGTTCAATCAGACATAAATCAATACGCCTATATTGTTTTAAACTCCACTTTCACACTTCAGGTTGCAAAAAAAGACACTACAAACCATCTTTACAGTGAAACACTTTTGTGTAACTGTTTTTTATTATTATTTTTTTCATTCATCTATACCGCTTCCCACGGCCCCCTGTAATGGCACCACACTTCTTCCTCATCACTGAGAATGAAGGTTTTGGGTGATGTTGTATGATGATTTAACCTTTAATTTGAATCTTTCATGTACAGGGATTTTTCTGTTTACTTTAGATGACCAATTGCACCCAAGAGGAGTTGTTGTTAAGAAATGTTTGTTTTGCATTATATGCTGCTTTATTTTCCTGTAC